TAGCCGAAGCAGATTGGCAGCAGAGCAGATTTGAAGAACTCATGCTCTTTGATGAAAGAAGGCTGAAAGCACTGTACCATGTTCAAGGTTATCAGTGCAGAATTGCCAGGGCTTTCAACAAGAAGGTTAAGTGCCGGAATTTGAAAGAAGGAGATTTGGTGCTCAAAGACAACCGAGCTCTCATCCACGACCCTAGGGGCAAGTTCAGACCCAATTGGACTGGACCTTACATCATTAAGTCTATTTGGTCGGGTGGAGCTGTCGTTCTGATGGACCTAGATGGCTTAGAGTTCTCACAACCGATCAATATGGACAAGTTGAAGAAATATTACCCCTGAGTGGCTCGCTAGGCCGAAAACCCGAAAGGGCGACCTAGGCAAGAGTTAGAGCATGAAAAATTTGAAATTACAAAAACTGAGATCGCAAGGTTGAAAACTCGCAAAAGGCGGCCTTGGCAAAAGTTAGAGCGTAAAAGGAGAGTGAAAATACTTGAGTGAACTCGAGCCTGAACTACATAAGGCTTGATTCCCATCTTTGGGATACGTAGGCAACTTCATCCTGAAGTTCACCCATAAACTTTTCCCCGATCAACTTTGTCCATTTGATCATCTTTGTCATCTTTGCCTATTCAACATTCAAGAGTTCGGTTGTGATCTCCGGTGCAGTGCTATTCAGACTAGGGGTAACTTTTCAGTTGTTGGAATCCGGGGTTGTGCATCTCAATGACAGATCTCAGGCGTGTCCAGTTCTGATCCATGTCGAAAATGGTTTTGAAAAGTTTTGATAAAAGTTGATTTTGTTGAAATTAATCTTTTTACAACTTTGACCATTTTTGGACCAAAGCGGAAAATTTTTAGTACCCACAACCTTCAATTTTATTGATTTCACTATAGAGTCCTCCTGCTCTTGCATACAAATTGAAGTTGCTTTTGGTTACATTCATAAAGAAAGCTTGAAAGTACTAATAAAGCAATAAATCTGTGGCATAGCTAAGTTAGGTGTTCCTGCGCCCCCTCCCAGAGCTGGTTGAAGCTTCTGATGCCAAAGTGGGCCCAATTTGTGCCTCTTCATTGAGCCAATCTATGCACTCATCAGACAAAGTGCAACTAAAAGTGAGAGCGGGGGCCAGGAGTTCTCTCCTCCTCCATGCTGTGGCATACCGAGCAAGCTGTGCGCCTCGGACCGGGAATGCAGCAGGGTACTCTATCCCCTCTGGCGGGCAAGTCTGATCATGGTTGAACTGGCGCTGGAACCAGAAAGGAAAGTAAAACATGCAGTGCGTCAGACCAATCAACTGAATCCTAATCTGCCGAGACATGCTGTAGCTCATTGCCGGTAGATTGAGCCAAGGACAACGCCAAGTAATGCGGTCTGCGGGCAAATGACACATCCAGTCGAACCACCATCGCTCATCAAGGGCATCGACTAGGCGTCGTCGGAAGAAGTAGCCACGAGCCGAGTATGTTGGGTAAGAGTCCACAACCTGTAACTTGGCCATCAACCGCACCTGGGGAGGGATGAAAAATGAGAAATTAAAGAATAGAGAGATGTACGATGAGGGAAAAGTGAGAAAAGGGCTTTGTGAGAAAAACCGAGCTTGAGGGCCGAGTGATGAGAGCAATATATATGTGAGATAGGGTGGGAAACATTACCTGCAGCAACAGTGGACTCCCCGCAAATCTGGTCGTCTCTCGGCGATGAAAAACATCCAAGCCCATCAATGTCTCGGCCAATGACATGCCAATGCAGCTTTTGCCCTCCCCTAAGCCTTGGGCAACCTCGATCAACTGGACACTAGATCCTCTGGAGCCTGAGGCAAGTAAGAAATGAGATAGCATGCACAAACAAAGTGCATATTGCCGAAAACCTTGCCAATGATGGTCACCGCGGTCGCCGGCATCGGAAAATCGGCAAGTCAAACTCGGAACATCCAACGTTCCGTCACAAATCAAAGATCGAGCATCGGGTATTGAGAGCCCACACATTTGTCCTAAGGCTTGGGCATGGCCGAAGCGAAGCTGAGGCAAGGCTTCTTCATTGCGCTCAGATTCCATCAAAGCTTGGAAATCTTCGAATGTAGTACACACCTCTTGCTTGCCAGAGCTAAAGACATGTGTTACCGGATTTCAAAACCTTATCGCGGTATAGAGAAACGGAAGGTGCAGCGGAGTACGACTCAGAGTGAATAGTGCATTCATGTCGAAGCCCCGAAAATTCAACTTTTCTGAGCCATCCAAGTTGGCAATCCAAGCTGTGAGATTCTGGGCAAGAAACTCTTCCATTTGGTGCAAATCAGTGTTGAATTGAGGAAAACTACGAAGCTGAGGCTCTTTGTAGGGGATAAGGTATGAGTGGATGACAGGTGTCAGCATTCTGGTGGGCTTTGCCATTTATGGTCGACCGGCCAAATGTAGTGCCGACCGACCACCACTTTTGGCCGATGACCATCTCTCATGGCTGATGGCCTTTCCCTCTGGCTGATGGCCCTCCCTCTTATTCCATAAGCTGTTTATGAGTTGAACATGCTGAAGAATTGTGGTTGGAACCTCCCCGATGCCTTCCGGTGGTGATCTTGCGAAGTCACATCTATTTGCTTATCGAGTTGTTGTAAATTTGCTTATCGAGTTGTATTTCACTCTCTTTAAGTCTTTGATTTGCTTATCGAGTTGTTCTCACACTTGGTTAGCTTATCGAGTTTCTTTGTTTTGCTTATTGAGTTGTTAGTTGGTTCATTACCTGATTATTACGATGCAAATGCTTAACTTTCAAAAGTTCAAATCTCATTTACATTGTTATGTAATGTGATGCGATGCATGAAATGTACCAAATGTAACACTTTTTGAACAAAACAACTGTTTCATTTCATCATATCTTTTGCAAAAGTACATAGTTTTGAGAAAGTAAAACCTGCCTGAGGCAGTACAATGTGCTCAAACTACCAGTAAAAATAAAAATAAAGCAAAACAAAAAGAGGAGAAAAGCGACAAAGTGTCTGAACAGAACAAAAAAAGAAGAAAAGCAGCAGAAAGTCTGGATCAACATCAGTGGTCTCAAGTGCGGGAGTCGGTCTTGGTCCTCTTCCTAGGTGAGGGTCCAGGATCACCACGCCATCTCCGTAGTCAGAGTCTAAGCTGTCTCCGGCCTCACCCTAGGACGACGCCGCCTCCTCATCAGAATCATCAGGAGAGGGCTCTCGTGAACTGCTCTCAGCACGGGTGCGCCTGTGTCTGCCTCGGCCGTGGATAGTCATCCCCCGCCTGGCTCCCCATCTTCCTCAAGCAGGAACAGATAGTCTAGCTGGAGCGCCTCTCGCAACTGGAATCTGGAATGGGGCCTAAAAAGTATGAATAGCAAATGTATCAGTTATGCTACGCAAAACAGTATATAAATACTGTGAGCAGTGTATCAGTACAGAATACAGTGTATGGGTCCAGTGTATGAATGTCGTGAGCAACGCTGTGAACAGTATGTGGGTTACAATGTATCAGTGCCGTGAGTGCTGTGAATCAAGTGCTGTGTTGATAGTGTGGTGCGTCAGATTATGTAGGCAGAGTTCGAGACTACGGTTGAAAAAACTTACCGGGATATTGTAGATGGTCAACAAGCCGATGCACCGCTGCAGCATCCCCACCACTGAGGCTGTCAACTCCAAGGACTGCCGAGTGTACTCGACAGAAGCCTACAAAAGTGTTAAAGTCATTAGTATTCTGCGGGATTTCAAATGAATTGAAATGACTGTACAGAATGCAAAGTCTAGTAGTACATATCGGGGTCGAGCCATAGACTCTGACAAGCTCATAATCAGCCGGAGGAGGAGCGAAGGGAATCTGATAAGTCTCCCCACCCTGTCCTCGACATGTGATAGTCGTGGGAAGCTCTGGCCATCCAGCTCCCTGCCCCCTCCGGGACCCACTACTGCCTCGGGCCAGAGGTGCCGAAGGTGCCCCTACTCCCGCTACTGGCATCGCTGGCCTCTCTCACTCTGCTCGACGAGCACCAGTCAAAGGCCGCATGATATAAGCCTGGATGTACTCGGCGTAGTCACCCTCGTCTCTAAAGCCCTCAGAGTCCCAGCCGATGGTGTAATCCATCATCTCCTCAAAGGTATACCATTTAGTATGCCTCATATGGGTGGGAGGCGGCCTCGGGACTACCTGCTTCGGTAAGCCGAGGGTCTACCGCAAGCAGCGCTCACCCAAGTACCAAGCGCGGTAGACTGGGCCCTCTAGTAGAACTCTGAAATGGGCAGTCTCTCGAGCACCGACATACTACTCCCGAACTACGTCAGGCAACGGGGCCCAAGGTTGCCAAGTGATCTGCAAACAAAACACAGTTTGTTATCTACTGGTATTGACAGTACGATATAAAGCGAAGCTTAAAATGAACTGTAATGTTTGGCATACCTCGGCTGTGGTAATGGTGTCAAAATAGCGGCGGAAGAACATGAAGGACTCTCGTGGCCTCCACTCGCATCTCACATCAAAGCGGTGAGAAAATGGAACGCCGAGGGGCATCTCCTCATCCGGCACTGGAGCAAGCCTAGGAAAGTAGGCATACACCCACAACTATAGAATGCAACAGAGCAGATGTGAGTATGCTTATCAAATAAAGCAGTATGCAGATAAAGCAGAGTGCGGTACGTGCAGTGTATTGTGCGGTATGTGCAGTGTACAACTAGTGTAAAGCAGATTGCGTGCGCGTAGTCTGTGTGATGTACAAGCAATGAAAAACAGAATTGAAAAGACAGAAAAGGGAACATGTACCTCCCAGGCTCGCCAGTAGCCTCTAAGCAACCACCCGTTGAGGCGGAAGGATAAGCTCATTGTAACATGCCCGGGGGGTACCCGCGC